AAAAAAAAGAGAGAGATGAAACATGGAGGTAAGAACTCTGAAGGGATTGTACTATAAACAAGACACCTGACGGAGACACACTTGTTTGTGTTAACATTCCATCTTTCATTTCAATACTTTATTGACCAAAATGACAGACATTAATACAGACTTTCTGTTGGCACCAACAAGAAGATTCAGCTGAGGTCCCTCATTACTTCTTTTCAGTTACCAGAGACCTGATTGTGGCAAAGCCTCAATGCTGAGTTCTATTCAATGCCGTTCTCAGGGCCAGCACTATTGGGGAACAGGGGACTCAGTTACCAGATGAACTGTTGCCAGGGCTGTGTGATGAAGCACAATCACCCTAATTCTTGGAAACTCTATTCTGGGCATGGATGGGCCGACATTTAAACAGTACTGTGTTTGTGGCTATTTGGCACAGGGATATACAAAATAATTTTTTTTTTTTTGTTTTTTGAGACAGAGTCTCATTTTGTTGCCCAGGCTAGAGTGAGTGCCGTGGCATCAGCCTAGCTCACAGCAACCTCAATCTCCTGGGCTCAAGCGATCCTCTTGCCTCAGCCTCCTGAGTAGCTGGGACCACAGGCATGTGCCACCACGCCCGGCTAATTTTTTCTCTATATATTAGTTGGCCAATTAATTTTTTTCTACTATAGTAGAGACGGGGTCTCGCTCTTGCTCAGGTTGGTATCGAACTCCTGACCTTGAGCAATCCCCCTGCCTCCGCCTCCCAGAGAGCTAGGATTACAGGCGTGAGCCACTGCGCCCGCCTACAAAATAATTTTAATGTACAACTCTCTTACTGTTCTGCTCATCTGTCTTTTATAAGAAAATAATTTAAGTCTTTTACCCTTCATTTGCTTGGGATGACAGGGAATGTAAGACTTTCAAAACAAAGTTAAGTTTATAAATCTAACCTTTGGCACCATCTGTATCTACTTTGAAATAGATATTAATGGATTTCTGGGCCAAACTATAATACTATTATGAAAATAGGCTGAATACTCTTCCTTTAAAAACTCATCTTTTCTCTCAGTCCATGCCACTGGTCACGCCACCCATGCAGTGTCTGCTGCCACCATGGGAATGCAGGTGGAGACCATCTCCCCAGGAGACGGGTGCACCTCCCCAAAGCACAGCTGGACCTGCATAGTGCACTACACCAGGATACTTGAAGGTGGAAAGAAATTTGATTCCTCCCGGGACAGAAACAAGCCCTTTAAGTTTATGCTAGGTGAGCAGGAGGTGATCCAAGGCTGGGAAGAAAGGGTTGCCCAGATGCGTGTGGGTCAGACAAACTGACTATATCTCCAGACTGTGCATATGGTGCTGTTGGGCACCCAGGCATCATCCCACCACATGCTACTTTCATCTTTGACGTGGAGCTTCTGAAACTTGAATGACAAGAATGTCTTCCTTCCTTAGCTCCCTGTTCTTGGAATCTGCCACATGGAGAGGTCTGGTGTTTCCAGACGTGTGCACAGAAATCCATATGGAGCTTTTCCTGATGTTCCAGTACACTCTGTATAAACATCTACCCCAACTAAATGTGTTCTATCACTCACCTTTGCTTCTGACACCTCCATTTCCTCTTCCCCTCTCTCCTTGTATGTGTGTTTACCTAAACTATATGCTGTAAACCTCAAGTTACTCATTTTATTTTGTTTTCATTTTGGGATGAAGATTCAGTTTCAGTCTTTTGGACCTGGGTTTCCAATTAAGTATATGGTCAAGTATTAACAGCAGAAGTTATGGGGTAATTTTAGAATAGGAATTGGTATTTTGGGGGGATTGCAAGAATATTTTTTTTTTGGATGAAATTTTTATCTGTTATATATTAAACATTCTTACTGCTGCGCTGCAAAGCCATAGCAGATTTGAGGTGCTGTTGAGGGCTGAATTATTCTGTAAGTTGAGAGATGTCCTTGTTTAAATTAAAAGCCCTACCCAAAACTAAAGTGGGGAGGGGGAGAGCCTTTGCCTCCACTACCCCCACCTCAACCTCCCCTTAAACCCTCTGCCATTTTTTTTTTTTTTTTTGGAGATAGAGTCTCACTCTGTTGCTGGAGCTAGAGTGCTGTGGTGTCAGCTCTAGCTCACAGCAACCTCAAACTCCTGGGCTTAAGCAGTCCTCCCACCTTCGCCTCCCACAGTGCTAGGATTATAAACATGAGCCACCTCGCCCAACCCAAACCTCTGCTTTTTGAAACCAGATCATTTTCACTGCTGAATTGGGCACTACAGGTATCCATCCCTGGGCCAGCAGGGATCTCTTGAAGCCACCTTTGTGGCCTGGCTTAGTTTTTTTTTTTTTTTCCATCCTGTCGTTTTTCTAATGGACTTTCAGGAATTTTGTAATCTTGTAACTTTCCAAGCTCCACCACTTTCTAGAATTTAAGAACTTGTAATTGAAAGTTTAAATTGAAGGTGCTGTTTGTAGACTTAACACCCGATGAAAGCCCAGCCGTCATGACAAATCCTTTCTCTTAAGAAAACGATGTTGGTAATCACAGCTTCAGCTTCTCCTGTTTTTTGATGCTTGGCTCCCTCTGCTGATCTCAGAGTTTCCTGACTTTTCTTTCCGCAGCTCCTTCTTATCCTTTGCTGTCCTGTGTAGTGATTTGGTCAGAGAAATTGTTGCTGCCCCTCTCCCCTCAAGCACCACATGAGTGTCAGGTGTTATTATTGCAAAAAAAGTGCTTTATGCTGGCTTTTCTAAAAACAAAACAAAAAACCCAAAAAACTCATCTTTTAATTCTCCTCTTGAAGTAGAAGAGTTTTCAGCAGGATTCTAATTGTGGTGTGGACAGTAGAAAAAAACTTCAATTGTAATGTAGAGCTAGCCTTTAAATTATGCCACTAGAGACCAGAGGTTGTATAGAACTTACTTGTTTGATGCGGGAAGGCACCCATGATTAAGCCTGACTCTAAAGCTAGAACTACAGAAAGGATTGTGACTTCTGTGCAAATTTAGCAGTTTATTTCATAGCAGTATGCTGCATTTATAGTGTTTTTCATAATAAAAATAGCTTGCTTGTTTTAAAAAAGTGTAAAACTTATATTCTGCATACTATAAAATATTGAAAGAAGCTAAAGAAGATCTAAATAAATGGAAAAACATTTTATATTCATAGATTAGAAGATTTACTATAGTTAAGATGCCAATAATCTCCAAGTTGATCTACAGATTCACCACAATCACAATCAAAATCCCCACTGCCATTTTTATAAAAATTAAGAAGCTGATCCTCAAATTCATGTGGGATTAGCCACAACAATCTTGAAAAAGTTGTTGTTGAAAGACTCATACTTCTTGATTTCAAAATTTACTACAAAGCCAAAGTGATAAAAACAGTGTATTACTGGCATAACAACAGACTATAGATTACTGGAATAACATTGAGAGCTGAGAAATAAATCCACATGTCAATGGCTAATTGATTTTTGACAAGGATACCAAGACCATTCATTGGAAGAAAGAATAGTCTTTACAACACATGGTGCCATGATAATTGGATAGCCACAAGCAAAAGAATGAAGTTGGACCCTTACTTCACACCTTATACAAATATTAAGTAAAAATGGATTATGCACCTAAATGTAAAAACAATAAAATTGTTAGAAGAAGAAAACTGAGATAAATCTTCATTACTTTGGATTTTGCAGTGGTTTTTTAGGTATGACACCAAAAGCATGAGCAAGAAAAGAAAATAACTGGACTTCATCAAAATTAAAAGCTTTTGTACTTCAAATGACACTCTCAAGAAAGTGAAAAGGAAGAAAATGTTTGCAAATCAAGATTTGAAAAGGGACTTATATCTAGAATGAAGAATTCTTATTTTTATTTTTTTTTATTTTTTTTTGAGACAGAGTCTCGCTTTGTTGTCCAGGCTAGAGTGAGTGCCGTGGCGTCAGCCTCGCTCACAGCAACCTCAAACTCCTGGGCTCGAGCGATCCTTCTGCCTCAGCCTCCCAAGTAGCTGGGACTACAGGCATGCGCCACCATGCCTGGCTAATTTTTTTTTTAATATACATATCAGTTGGCCAATTAATTTCTTTCTATTTATAGTAGAGATGGGGTCTCGCTCTTGCTCAGGCTGGTTTTGAACTCCTGACCTTGAGCAATCCGCCCGCCTCGGCCTCCCAGAGTGCTAGGATTACAGGCGTGAGCCACCGCGCCCGGCCATAGAATGAAGAATTCTTAAAAGACAACCCAATTAAAAATGGGCCAAACATCTATATAGACATTTCTCTAAGGAAGATATACAAATGGCTAACAAGCACATGAAAGGATGCTCAACATCATTAGTCATCAGGGAATTGCAGATTGAAACCACAATGAAATACCACTTTACACCTTCTGGGATGGCTATGAAAAGCAAAACAAAGCAACCCAGAAAAGACAAGTATTGGCCAGCATGTGAAGAAATTGAAACCTTCATATATTGCTGATGGGAATTTACAATGGTACAACTGCTTTGGAAACAGTTTGCCTTTCCTCAAACTGTTAACCGTAGAATTACCATGTGACCCAGCAGTTTACACCTAAGTATCTATACGGAGAACTGAATGCATGTGTCTGCATAAATATTCATGATAGCCCAAAGGTGGCAACGATCTTACTATCCATTAACTGGTAATGAATGGTTAAACAAAATGTAGTATTTGCATAGAACAGGATATTTGACCACAAAAAGGAAAGAAGGTCTGATACATGCTGCAACGTAGTTGAACCTGAATACATTATGCTAAATGAAAGAAGCCAGTCACAAGGTAATCATGATATATGATTCCATTTATATGAAATATTCAGAATAGACAAATCTATAGAGACAGAAAGTAGACTAGTGGTTGTGTAGGACTGGTGGGATGGGAAGTTAGGTGAGGCATAGCTAAAGGGTATAGCACTTCTTTTTAAGGTTTTGAAATGTTCTAAAATTGATTGTGGAGATAATTGCACATATCCATGTATATACTAAAAACCATTGAATAGTACACTTTAAATGGGTGAATTGTATTGTGAACTACATCTCAAGAAAGCTTTTAATAAAAATAAGAATGCCAGTATTATGACTAACAATTTATTAATGAATGCAGTTTAGTTTTCTTTGCAGTTCAGCTTGTCTTTAGAGAATATATTCCACTGAGGATGTATAGTCAAAATAATGTGTCTAAAAGTAATTTAAAATATAATAATTTTTTTCTATGGTTATATTACCAACTTGATATTTTACTAAATTAATTATTTTATTTAATTAATTTACTGCATTAATTGACTTTTCCTGTAGTAAAAAACAACTCCAAGATTTCAGTGGCTTATAACAATAAACGTTTATTTCTTGCTCACGTTCTGTGAGTGCACTGCAGTGATTCTTCTCCAGGCTCCAGACTGAGTTTGGGCCTCCCCATGTGTCTTTTCATGCTGGGACTTACTGAAATCACCACACCTGTATTGGATATGCTAGTCTCATTCATGGTGGAGGGCAGGAGCACAAGAGAGGTGCTAGAATTTGTAGTGACTCCTACATCCTTTGGACTGGGCACACTGTCACTTTTACCCATATTTGTTTGTCTGTTTTGCATGAAACATTAAAGTACATTTTTTTTCTTGTGTGAGTTTATGCTGATACCTCCAATTCAAATTCAATACACCCAATTCTCCCTCATCTTTCCCCATTCTATGTTTTATCTTTCCTCACCCACGTGAAAATACTGATTCCCAATAACACTGCTGTTTTACTTATTTGTATCTTCTATAATACACAGTATTTTAGAAATTCAGACACTAATGTCACTGTTATGTAAAGTGTAGGATTTATAATGTGAACCCTTGAGGATGCCCATTCAGATAACTGTTTGAGTCACTTGAATTCTTTTCTGTGTGATGACCAATTTGGTAGACCTGTAAGAAGTTAAAATACAGTTTGAATTCATGCTGATAGTTCAAATTAAGGAATAAAGGTTTTTTTTTTTTTTTTTTTCTTTCTGAGACGATCTTGCTTGTTCCCACGGCTAGCGCTGAGTGCGTGTCGTCAGCCTCAGGTTCACAGCAACGCTCAACTCTGGGCTCAAGCATCCTGCTGCTCATGCCTCCCGAGTAGCTGGACTACAGGCACTGCTCCACCATCCCGGCTAATTTATATATATATTCACGTATGGCCATTAATTTTTTATTTATAGTAGAGACAAGTTCGCTCGTTCGCTAGCGCGCCTGGTTTCGAACTCCTGACTCGGCCTCCCGCCTCAGCCTCCAGGGACATAAAGCGTTGCTTTAATTTCATCATTCTTATATCTGTATCTAATCGCCCACTGAAAATACTGATTCCCAGGCTGAATACCACACTAATTCACATATTCTCTTGCACTACTGTGACAACCATAACACAGATAAACTACAGTATAACAATCTGGAATATTATACCTATACTTACTGAAAGATCAAGTGCCTTTTCTTTTTCTTGTTGTTGCTTCATAGCGTATATTGTACCAGAGAAGTTAGTCAAATACTGGGGTGCTCTCCTAAATTCACTGAATGGTTCTCTGTTTTGCGGTGTTTTATCCAAGTATTGATGTTATTCTGCTCTTTTCTTATTTTCTCGTTTGAGACACGAGTCTCGGGTTTGGTGCCAGCTAGAGTGCGTGCGCATCAGCCTACGTTCGACAGAAACCTCCCACTCCTGGCCACGCCGATCCTACTTCGCCTCACGCCTCCACGCTAGCTGGACTCTCAGGCATCTGCCACGATGCCGGCACTTATATACTAAACGTTTGTATGGTTTTTGTTATTTGTCGCGAGCTAATTTTCTTTCATTTCTTCTTCATGGTAGAGGCGGGTCTCGACTCTGCTCAGCGCTGGTCTCAAACTCCTTCGAGCCAAAGGTCCTCACTCGCCTTCCAGAGTCCAGATCAGGTGTGACGCACTGCGCTTGGCATCAAATTATGTCACCCATTCTTTGAGTTGAAGATAGTGAACGAGCATTACTTGTCCAGCTAGACTTTTCCAGTCTGGAATCGGTAACTTTTCCTATATCCAATTTCTGACACTGCGATAGGCC